GGGGCCCCGACACATATCACTGAGAGCTGCTATCAGTTGTTTTTGGTTCACCTACAGCAGATGGAGGGTTTGGGCCCTGGCGTTGTGGCAGCGGCCGGAGAGCTCTCACAGGAGGAGGAAGACGAGCTGGGCCCACAGGCTTTGGTGGTTGTGGGGCCCGCCGGTTTTTTGTTGGTATCTGGGGGCTTGCAGCAAAAGAGTGGGAGAGTCTGGTCCCAGCATAAACCAGTTCCTCCATTTTCTGTGAGAAGCTTAGAAGTGGAGATGTTGGAGAGAGGGATAATGTGTCTGGTGAGCAGGGCTGTGGCTCTGTTGTTTCTGGTGGCTGAAATATGTTGTCCTGGCTTCCCTGGCTGTTTTCCAGAAAGTCGTCCTTGGGTGCTGAGTCTTGGAGCTGTTCTGATACGTCACAGTCTGTCTGTGATGAGCTCTGTGGGTAGGGCTCAGCCGGGATAGTTTCCATGAGCATTGCTTGTTGTGGCTACGTGGTGTTATCAGTGTCCTTGTGGGATGTGTCAACCACATGATGACTCGGAAGCTGATATGAAGTCCTGTCGTCACTCATACTCTGTCCAGGTGTGTGTGTGCCATTCAGGTTGAGTAGTTTGGCACACAATACTGAAGGATGACACCTGAAGGACTCTTGCACCAAGTTTGTTTGGGTGGAGGCCATCCAGTTTAAACAGTTGTCTATGGCCCCAGAAAAGATTGAAGTTGTCGATGAAATTGACTCCTTTTAAGCAGCAGAGAGGCTTCACTACACCGAATAAACAGCTTATTTAATGAATCAACAGCCTATCAGCTAATCTCCAACATGTTTTACACTAAGCAATACTTTTGGATTTAACTATTTTTAGAGTTTACACTGGAAAAAAAAATGCTGTTTTATATAAATTATTACTTTTGTTTAGCAAGGATGCTTTAAATTGATCAAAAGTGATGATAAAGACATTTATAATGTTTGTAAAAGATTTCTATTTCAGATAAATGCTGTTCTTCTGAACTTTCTATTCATCAAAGAAACCTGAAAAAAATCTAATCTGTTTTCAACATAATAATAATAATAATAATAAATGTTTCTTGAGCAGCAAATCAGCATATTAGAATGATTTCTGAAGATCATGTGACACTGAAGACTGGAGTAATGATGCTGAATATTCATCTTTGATCACAGAAATAAATTACATTTTAAAATATATTCAAATAGAAATCAGTCATTTTAAATAATACAAATATTTCACAATATTACTGCTCTTGCTGTATTTCTGATCAAATAAATGAAGGCTCGGTGAGCAGAAGAGACTTCTTTAAAAAACATTAACAATCTTACTGATCAAAACCTGATGACTAGTGTATTAAAACATAATTTCTAAAGTGCCTAAATTAGTACAATATATTTGTTGAAAAAGGCTAATACACTATTGAATTATTAGGCTGTGAGGCTGTTACTCAAATAATTTTTGTGTTGCTGTCTGCTCTAGCTTCCTCCCTGTACAATAAATCCATGTGAATATCTATCTCTGCTCAATTTTTAATGTAGCTTTACAATCGATATTGATGTGCTTTAGCACAGTATTCTGAATGATGATAATAATGGGGTGCTACTGATAGCCTAACACAGTGTTTCCCAACCGGGGTGTCGCAGCACCTACTGATTGCCACCATTGATGGACACATTTTTTTTATAATATT